AAAAATTGAATTTAAATTCTCTATTCTTCAGGATTTTGTTGCGCTCAGTCCCTACTAGAACTCTGGTAATTTTTGAATTATTAGAATCATTAAATTTGGAAGAAATAAATTTTTATTTTCGTTTTTAACAAATTTTGATTGTCTGAAAGCGTACGGGTGGACCTGCTAGTTCTTAAAAATTGAATTAAAATTCTCTATGCTTCAAAATTGGGTAGCGCTCAGTCCCTACTAGAACTCTGGTAATTTTTGAATTATTAGAATCATTAAATTTGGAAGAAATAAATTTTTTTTTTCGTTTTTAACAAATTTTGATTGTCTGATAGCGTACGGGTGGACCTGCTACTACTTAAAAATTGAATTCAAAATCTCTATTCCTCAGAATTGGGTAGCGCTCAGTCTCTACTAGAACTCTGGTAATTTTTGAATTATTAGAATCATTAAATTTGGAAGAAATAAACTTTTATTTTCGTTTTTACCAAATTTTGATTGTCTGATGGCGTTCAGGTGAAGGTGCTACTAATTAACAATTGAAATAAAATTCTCTGTTCTTCAGGATTGGGTAGCGCTCAGTCCCTACTAGAACTCTGGTAATTTTTGAATTATTAGAATCATTAAATTTGGAAGAAATAAATTTTTATTTTCGTTTTTAACAAATTTTGATTGTCTGATAAAGTACAGGTGGACCTGCTACTACTTAAAAATTGAAATAAAATTCTCTATTCTTTAGGATTGTATAGGGCTGAGTCCCTACTAGAACTCTGGTAATTTTTGAATTATTAGAATCATTAAATTTGGAAGAAATAAATTTTTATTTTCGTTTTTAACAAATTTTGATTGTCTGATAGCGTACGGGTGGACCTGCTACTACTTAAAAATTGAATTTAAATTCTCTATTCTTCAGGATTGGGTTGCGCTCAGTCCCTACTAGAACTCTGGTAATTTTTGAATTATTAGAATTATTAAATTTGGAAAAAATAAATTTTTATTTTCGTTTTTACCAAATTTTGATTGTCTGATGGCGTTCGGGTAAAGGTGCTACTACTTAAAAATTGAAATAAAATTCTCTATTCTTCAGGATTGGGTAGCGCTCAATCCCTACTAGAACTCTAGTAATTTTTGAATTATTAGAATCATTAAATTTGGAAGAAATAAATTTTTATTTTCGTTTTTAACAAATTTTGATTGTCTGATAGCGTACGGGTGGACCTGCTACTACTTAAAAATTGAATTTAAATTCTCTATTCTTCAGGATTGGGTTGCGCTCAGTCCCTACTAGAACTCTGGTAATTTTTGAATTATTAGAATCATTAAATTTGGAAGAAATAAATTTTTATTTTCGTTTTTAACAAATTTTGATTGTCTGATAGCGTACGGGTGGACCTGCTACTACTTAAAAATTGAATTTAAATTCTCTATTCTTCAGAATTGGGTAGCGCTCAGTCTCTACTAGAACTCTGGTAATTTTTGAATTATTAGAATCATTAAATTTGGAAGAAATAAATTTTTATTTTCGTTTTTAACAAATTTTGATTGTCTGATAAAGTACGGGTGGACCTGCTACTACTTAAAAATTGAAATAAAATTCTCTATTCTTTAGGATTGTATAGGGCTGAGTCCCTACTAGAACTCTGGTAATTTTTAAATTATTAGAGTCATTAAATTTGAAAGAAATAAATTTTTATTTTCGTTTTTAACAAATTTTGATTGTCTGATAGCGTACGGGTGGACCTGCTACTACTTAAAAATTGAATTAAAATTCTCTATTCTTCAGAATTGTATAGAGCTCAGTCCCTACTAGAACTCTGGTAATTTTTGAATTATTAGAATAATTAAATTTGGAAGAAATAAATTTTTATTTTCGCTTTTAACAAATTTTGATTGTCTGATAGCGTACGGGTGGACCTGCTACTACTTAAAAATTGAATTAAAATTCTCTATTCTTTAGAATTGTATAGAGCTCAGTCCCTACTAGAACTCTGGTAATTTTTGAATTATTAGAATCATTAAATTTGGAAGAAATAAATTTTTATTTTCGCTTTTAACAAATTTTGATTGTCTGATAGCGTACGGGTGGACCTGCTACTACTTAAAAATTGAATTAAAATTCTCTATTCTTCAGAATTGTATAGAGCTCAGTCCCTACTAGAACTCTGGTAATTTTTGAATTATTAGAATCATTAAATTTGGAAGAAATAAATTTTTATTTTCGCTTTTAACAAATTTTGATTGTCTGATAGCGTACGGGTGGACCTGCTACTACTTAAAAATTGAATTTAAAATCTCTATTCCTCAGAATTGGGTAGCGCTCAGTCCCTACTAGAACTCTGGTAATTTTTGAATTATTAGAATCATTAAATTTGGAAGAAATAAATTTTTATTTTCGTTTTTACCAAATTTTGATTGTCTGATGGCGTTCAGGTGAAGGTGCTACTACTTAAAAATTAAAATAAAATTCTCTATTCTTCAGGATTTGTTGGAGCTCAGTCCCTGATAAAACTCTGGTAATTTTTGAATTATTAGAATAATTAAATTTGGAAGAAATAAATTTTTATTTTCGCTTTTAACAAATTTTGATTGTCTGATAGCGTACGGGTGGACCTGCTACTACTTAAAAATTAAATTAAAATTCTCTATTCCTTAGAATTGGGTAGCGCTCAGTCCCTACTAAAACTCTGGAAACTTTTGAATTATTAGAATCATTAAATTTGGAAGAAATAAATTTTTATTTTCGTTTTTACCAAATTTTGATTGTCTGATGGCGTTCGGGTGAAGGTGCTACTACTTAAAAATTGAAATAAAATTCTCTATTCTTCAGGATTGTATAGGGCTGAGTCCCTACTAAAACTCTGGTAATTTCTAGTTGATTAGAATCATTAAAATTGGAAGAAATAAATTTTTATTTTCGTTTTTACCAAATTTTGATTGTCTGATAGCGTACGGGTGGACCTGCTACTTCTTAAAAAATGAATTTAAATTCTCTATTCTTTAGAATTGGGTAGCGCTCAGTCCCTACTAGAACTCTGGTAATTTTTGAATTATTTTAATCATTAAATTTGGAAGAAATAAATTTTTATTTTCGTTTTTAACAAATTTTGATTGTCTGATAGCGTATGGGTAGACCTGCTACTACTTAAAAATTGAATTTAAATTCTCTATTCTTTAGAATTGGGTAGCGCTCAGTCCCTACTAGAACTCTGGTAAATTTTGAATTATTAGAATCATTAAAATTGGAAGAAATAAATTTTTATTTTCGTTTTTACCAAATTTTGATTGTCTGATGGCGTTCGGGTGAAAGGGGCTACTAATTAAAAATTGAAATAAAATTCTCTATTCTTCATGATTGGGTAGCGCTCAGTCCCTACTAGAACTCTGGTAATTTTTGAATTATTAGAATCATTAAATTTGGAAAAAATAAATTTTTATTTTCGTTTTTACCAAATTTTGATTGTCTGATGGCGTTCGGGTGAAGGTGCTACTACTTAAAAATTGAAATAAAATTCTCTATTCTTCAGGATTAGGTAGCGCTCAGGCCCTACTAGAACTCTGGTAATTTTTGAATTATTAGAATCATTAAATTTGGAAGAAATAAATTTTTATTTTCGTTTTTAACAAATTTTGATTGTCTGATAGCGTACGGGTGGACCTGCTACTACTTAAAAATTAAAATAAAATTCTCTATTCTTCAGGATTTGGTGAAGCTCAGTCCCTGCTAGAACTATGATAATTTCTAGTTGATTAGAATTATTAAATTTGGAAGAAATAAATTTTTATTTTCGTTTTTACCAAATTTTGATTGTCTGATGGCGTTCGGGTGAAGGTGCTACTACTTAAAAATTGAAAAAAAATTCTCTATTCTTCAGGATTGGGTAGCGCTCAGTCCCTACTAGAACTCTGGTAATTTTTGAATTATTAGAATCATTAAATTTGGAAGAAATAAATTTTTATTTTCGTTTTTAACAAATTTTGATTGTCTGATAGCGTACGGGTGGACCTGCTACTACTTAAAAATTGAATTAAAATTCTCTATTCTTCAGAATTGTATAGAGCTCAGTCCCTACTAGAACTCTGGTAATTTTTGAATTATTAGAATCATTAAATTTGGAAGAAATAAATTTTTATTTTCGTTTTTAACAAATTTTGATTGTCTGATAGCGTACGGGTGGACCTGCTACTACTTCAAAATTAAATTAAAATTCTCTATTCTTCAGAATTGTATAGAGCTCAGTCCCTACTAGAACTCTGGTAATTTTTGAATTATTAGAATCATTAAATTTGGAAGAAATAAATTTTTATTTTCGTTTTTAACAAATTTTGATTGTCTGATAGCGTACGGGTGGACCTGCTACTACTAAAAAATTCTTACAAAATCCAAGCGTGACATAAAATCCCGGTTCCTAACCAGTTCTCTATATGTCTCTTTACAAGATTCTTACTAGAATTCAATTTTTGATAAGGAAACTTAGAGAAATTTCAAAATGGTCATTAAAGAAATTTTCACTTTCTTTAAAGAAATTCCACTTTCCCCAAAAAATTTTGCTCTTCACTTTGAGTAAAATATTGTTATTTGTGAAGATTCAAGAAACATTAATAGTGAATAATTTTTGATTGAAAGTGAAATTTACGTAAACGCAGCACTAGTACAAAAATTCCCTGTCTGAGTAAGAACTGACTTTTACTACTGCTAATAAATTAAATTAATAAGAATACTATATTGTCTGACTAGTATTGTCCTTTACTACCAGCTTTGCTACTATTAATTAAATAAATTATTTAAATATATATATTTATGTATTAAATTAATAAATACGTTTAAACTGACATTTAAAGAAGAATTATTTATTTGCATTTGTTAGATGTAAACGAAATAATTGAAGAAAGAAAAAAATTAATTAAATTACCAATTTTATGTTGTCAGTTCTATTGTAATGAAGAAAATAAATAAAAAAATAAAATTCTCAAAGAATATAAAGTGTATAGTAAAGAAGAAAAAAAATTGACTCACCTATCAAACGAAATGGCCATGAGTGTAAAAACGCTGGCGCAGATGGTAAGAACTGCAATAAATTGGCTGATCTTGCAGTATAAATTCCCAAATGGCCAATGACTATTGAGCATATAGGTATAATTAAAGATAACATTTAACGTCGACACCATTGCGTCCGCAATACTTAAATTCACTAGAAAGTAATTAGTAACTGTTCTCATTCGTTTATGGGCCAACACTATCCAAATCACAATGAGATTGCCACCAGTCGCAACAACAATCATACCAGCGAATAATAATGTCCATATCATTTGTCGCCACCATGGTAAAATAAATTGATTCCCATCTTCTGTGTCCGTTAAATTTGTGTCGTTGCGAAAGAATGTCTCGTTCGCCACAATCCATGATGGTGTTAAATTCAAAGGGAACTCGGTCGAAATAAAAAGCTCTTCGAGTGACTGCATCACGACAAACGCCGGAAGTCACTTTTCTTTAGTTCATTAGTTGTTCCCTTCTCTCTCTCTTTCTCTCTCTCTCTCTTTTTTAGCTAGGGCGGGAAGGGAGGAACAATTTCCTCTCCTTTCTTCTGAATTACACCTTTTTTTTTGTTTCGAAATTTTCCTCTTCTTTTTCTTTTATCTATTTTGATAAAAAAAAAATCTTCTCCAGTTTTAAATATTTTTTCTTACGGATCATTTCTTTGGGGGCTAGCCCCTATTTTTTTAACTTTGCTTTTTATTTACATAGTCATTGTCAATTTTGAGTCATTTTTCACTGTTTTTAATTGAAGAATAAAAATGTTGCGGATGTGGAAATTTTATGAAGAGACGGAACATTGTTAATTTTTTAGTTTCTTCGGTGGATTTTTTATCGTCTTCTTTACTTTTATAATTTTTGTTTCTATTTTATTTATTTATTTTTTTATTTTTTCTAATTTATTTATTTAGATTATCAATTTTTAGTGAGTTTTTCTACTCGAAATTTTTTTCACTTTCTTTTGGTGATTTTTTTGGTCTGGTAATTTTTTATTCTTATTTATTTTTAATTCATATATATTTTTTTGTGCTTTTTTTTACTTATGGTGTTTTATTTATTTGGATAATTTTTTCGCTTCTTTTTTATTCTGATGATTTTTTTAGTCGGAGAATTTTTTCATTCATCTTTATTTTTTTATTGATGACGGTTTTTTTGTCTGTGATAATTTTTTCTTCTAATTTATTTTTTTTTCTTATTCTTTCCTTTTTCTTCTATTGTTTCTATTCTATTATTTCTTCTTTATTTTTTCTACTTTTATTCCTTCTTCTATATTTTTTCTACTTTTATACCTTCTTCTATATTTTTCTATTTCTTTTCTTTCTTCTTTATTGCTTTTTCTTTCTTTTTTATTTATTCTTCTTGTTTCTTCTTTATTTTTTCTACTATTCTTCTTTCTTCTTTATTTTCTCTTCTTTCTTGTTCCTTCTTTCCTCTTTATTTTTTCCTTTCTTCTTCTTTCTTTTTTCTTCTTTCCTTTTCCTTTTTTATTTTTTCCTTCTTTTTTCTTCTTTCTTTTTTATCTACGCTAATTTTTTATTGCAGTAATTTTTTTCAGTTCAGCGCTACTTTTTTTTCCTCTAGAATATTTTATTTCTTGTGAATTTTTCAATTCAGCGGAAATTCGTTGTAATAATCGCATTAAGTTCTTTCATTAATTGGAGAGTGAGTGGGTTGACATCCGTGATTTCTAGGAAAGTAGAACTCTATGTTTTCTGTCCCCTGAATTCAATCGGGGAGGATGGTGATGATGGTGGTTGGATACAGTGGTTAGTTTCACCATCGAAGCTCACTTCCACTTCCGTTTCATGCACTGTCGGCTTTAACCAGGGGTTTCTCTCTCACTCTCTCTCTCTCAATCCCTTCTCTTTTCTCCCAACAATATTCCCCTCGCCCACCACTTTATTGTTTTCATAGTTTTATTCACGTCGAGATGAATGGTTTTGCGCAATGGGAGGCACACCCAATAGTCTTCAAAATCCTCGGAAAATATCGAAACAATTATTTAACAATACAATTTTGAAACTAAAAAAAAAAATTTTTGTTTGATTTTAATAATCAATTTGTAGATTTTTCTGTATTTTTTCAATTCTTTTTTCTAAATTTTTGAATTCTTGTTTTCTTTATTTTTGAATTCTTTTTGTATATTTTTAGTTCTTTTTTCAATTTTTCAATTCTTCTTTATATTTTCAATTATTTTCTGTATTTTTAATCATCTTTTTATTTTTCAATTTTTTTTTGTCTATATTTTCAATTCTCTTTTCCTTTCTCTTCTTTTTCTTTATATTTTTAATTCTCTTTTCCTTTTTTTTCTTTTTCTCTACATTTTCAATTCTTTTCTTATCTATTTTTTTTTATTTTGCTTTTATTATATTCTCTCAAAAAAAATAGAGCAAGGAATGAAAAATTGTAAAATATGAATTTAAATTCTTTTTTTCTCTCTATTTTCTATTATATTCTCCCAAAAAAATAGAGTAAGGAATGAAAAAATGTAAAATTTGAATTTAAATTCTCCTTCTACCTCTATTTTTCAAATTATATTTTTATTATATTTTTCAAACACATAGAGAAATTAATGAAAATTTCCAAATTTTTGAAAATTTGATTTAAAGTGCAATTTCTTTTTTTCTCTTTTGACAATTTTTTTTGCAGGGAAAATTTTTTTTCAACAGTCTTTGGAAAAATGAAAAAGAAGAAAAATAATGACCGAGCTTTTGGAGAATCAAAAATTCTAATGGATGGTGGACATTAGCGGCTTTCAAATAGTACAATGCGTTCGTATTTTCTTATTATAAAGCATTCGCTTTTGTTCTTCATTCCCCGTCGGCGATACTTTGTGATGTTTTTCATTTCGAAAATATTTCTTTCCTTAGACTTATGTGGATTTATTATAAATACCAAAAAAAACTTGTTCTTTTTTTAATATAAACAAAGCACAGTTTGATCTCTCTTCAAGGGGAGAAATTTTGTTTTTTATTTTCAAAAAGTTAATAAAGCTCGTCTAATTTTTTTCTCTTTTACTAAACATTCACTTTTCATTCAATATTTTTCCGTTAATTAATTTTTTTGGTCTTTTTCTTTCTTTTCAAAATTCCTCCTAAAAATAATTCAATTTTAATTTTTTGTATTTTAACATTTTTTTCGTCTTCTTCTACATTTTCTCTTGAAATAAATGAATTAAAATTTTGTTTAAATCACTTTTTTTGTCTTCTTTTCTCGATTTCCTCTTGAAAAATAAATTAAACTTTTATTTTAATCACTTTTTTGTTGTCTTTCTCTCTCAATTTCCTCTTGAAAAATAAATAAAAATTCTAGTTTAAAATTTAAACACTTGTTTGTATTCTTCTCTCAATTTCCTCTTCAAAAATAAACAAAACTTCCTATTTTCAAACACTTTTTTTGGTTTCTGCTCTAAATTTCACCTTTAAAAAACCAAAATTTTATTTTAAATTTTAAACACTTTTTCTCAAAACTTTTCTTCTATATTTCCGGTAAAAATTTGTCCTTCTCTCTTCATTTGATCGATGAGAATTGCGTAGTTTTCTCACGTTCACCTCCTCAAGATGATTGTACTTTTCATTTTCACTATTACGATTAATCTGTAACATAAAAAATGGAAAATAATGAAAATTCTTTTTTTTATTATTATTTTTAATCTCGCACATGAATTGCGTGTAAGTGTGTTGAAATACATTATATGAATTTTGCCAAGCAGGTTTTTGCATTATGGGTATATCAGGGATAAAACGCAGATTAAGCATAGAATACACTTGGGAAAATTTAATGCAAGCTCAGGTTTATGGTCTAAAGTGAGCTTTCATGGTTTAGTATTTAAATATTTTAATATTTTTAAATTATGAAAGCAAAAAAAAAAAAATAAAAAAAATGGAAAAATTTTCTTTAAAAGTTGCATATTAAAAAAAAATCTTACTTTTTAGTCATTGTGATAATTTTTTTAATTAAACTTGCTGACTTGGTTGAAATTAAGGACAAATATTTCATAAAATTTTCAAATATTTTATATTTAAAAAATAGCTATAAATATATAAGAATACTAAATTAATAGAATTATAATTCATTTCAATTTTTTATAAAATTTAGAATTCATTAAATCATTATTTTTACTACCATTCTATTGATATTTCATTAAAATATTTAAATTAAAAAATCCTTTTTTCTTCAATTTCAAAATTTCAATGCATAATCACTCCCGAATGATAGGGGAAAAAAAGGAAAATTCTTCTCCTATACGTCGTCTAAAAATTTATTTGAGGACTCTATAAATCCATATATGCAAATTTTCCGTTTTAGTTTCCAATTCAAATGTATAGTTTTCAAACGCGTTAAAGTTTTCAAAAGCACCATTCTGCAAGCTGTCGTTTTAAAATAAACGCTTCCTGAAGAGCTTTAACACTTTTTCTTCAAAAATGAGTGAATTTTAATATTTGCATATTGAGTTTATCAATTGTCGTGTATTTTTCCAGTGTAAAATAAAAGAAAAGAAAGAAAAATAGTGGAATATAATTCATTCGATCCAATATTATTATTATTCCAAAATTTACACCTAAATTTTTATTTTCAATATTATTGTAATTTTATAGTAAATCAATAATAATTATTCTCGTGAAATAATTGTTTTTGTCCGGAAAGTAATTAAGTTACAAGAACCTCTATTATCGTCATGCTTTGTTGCGGAAGTAATTATATGTTAAACTTAAGTTTATCCAAGAGAAAGTGAAAATTTATATAGTGAGCGGTCATAAATTACTTTGGAAAAATTGATATTTAAGGTGATGAAAATTGTAAAGAAATGTAAATTTTAAACTGTTGGAGAAAATTAAATTAGTTATTAAATACACGGTAGTTATATTTTTTATGGCGTAAGTGGTAGAAAATAAATGTGGACGTCCGCATGAAAAGGGACCACTTTGGCACTATTGGACTTATCTATATGGGCGAATTCCTGACAAAATTTGGAAAATTTTGAGTGGTCTTACAACCTTTTTGGTGAAAAATTCGATGAGTTACAGAATTTTAAAGTTTGGAGTATCAAATACGTCATTTCGAGAAAAACGAAATCAAAGATTGTAATATGAATATCTGTGGTTCTTCTGGGAAGTTATTCAGATAATAGTTGTTTTAAGACTAGTACACCCTTAAGATTGAAAATCAATAGGTTTAGAATTCCCCCCCTCCCCCTCATTTTTTAACAATGACAAAATAATGGATCTCCGACAAAGTGGTCCCTTTTCTAAAAATACGGTTATTAATTAATAAAGTGGAATATTTAACGAATTTAAAGGTTCGGTGTTATTTTTTAGAGTTATTTCAAGCAAAGAAAAGAAAAGTAACCTAAAAAAAATTTTTTAAGCGACTTTATTATAAAAAATCTTAGAAAAAATTAAAAATTTCATTTCTAAAAACACGAAATTAAAAATTGTAATGCGAATTTCTCCGGCTCTTCTGGGAAGTTATTCAGATAAGAGTTGTTTTAAGTCTAGTACACACTTAAGATTGAAAATCAATAGGTTTCGAATTTTTCCCTCCCTTCGTTTTAAAACAATGAAAAAATTGTCAGATTTCCGACAAAGTGGTCCCTTTTCATTTTTTTTTCTAACAACGAAATAAAATACTTAGAGTGTCAATAAATTAATAAAAACTGCATGAATCGACGTGGTAGACCCTGTAGATTAAGAAAAAAAGATAAAAAAAATTTCTATATTTTTCTTCAAAATTAGTAAATTGCGAATATCTCGGAATCTAGAACCGACAAAGTGGTCCCTTTTCATGCGGACGTCCACAAATATGGTCAGACAATTTAAATGATTGTCTATAATTTTCGGTTTAGTGTGAAATTATTTTT